GTAAAGCCAAGAGATTATAACATGAAAAAAGATAAGGAGAGTGAGAAACTAAGTAATCAATAGTATATGTTTTACCTTTAACGAAAAATTGTATGAGTAAACACGAGATTTATACATGGAATCGTGCTTGCCTTCAATTCTAGCGAATAACTAAATGGCTCATTTGGAAGTCCGGCTTATTTAGGGAGAAAGTCTAATTGGGAAGACATTGGTCAGATATGGATGACTACGTAGCTACTTAGTAGAACTGCGAAGAGAGTCTGGAAGATTTCCTTAGAAAAGAGTTGTATTCAACCTATTTTGCTAAGGTAATGAAGGACTGGCAGTTGAATCTTTCCACAACGATATGAGTAAGCCTTATATTTCCATTTACTTCCGCATAGCCTTGCTTCCCAAAAGGTATTCTCATCCAAGCTGGAGTGGACCGTGGTTTTGACCTCGCTTCATCATCCCACCAGCATCCAGAAGGGGACTATAAAGTGGAAAACGAGTGTTAAGTGGCGACACATTACCACTCCGCTGCGCAGCAGCGGATACAAGTGAATCATTGAGCATGCGGGAATTTCAAAGGAAGTGATGCTTTCCACAAACCACATTTATTTAGTGGGATTGTCGATTACGTATACTTGGGTCTACCATTAAACATAAACACGCTACTTATATTCGTCGCTAGTATGCTTCGTGGCTATCAGTAGATTTTGAAGAAAAACTTTAATCATCCTTGAATGAGAAAAACGTTTGGAGGGAAAGGCTAAGTAAAATTCAGTGCCATATACTTACACAGTTAGTTGTTTAAAATTCAACTATCAGTTATTATACCACCTAAACTGACATATGGTGACTTGGGATTTTATTCAAGATGTACTGATAGTCTCGAAAAATAATTAACACGAATCTAAACAACATCGCTGATTGTAATTTCAAATACAAATATGACTCATCAACAATCTCATTATAAAATATGATTTGGGTATAGATTGCCTAAAATATCTCAGTTGATCTGTTGTCTACTGACAACCATAACTGTGATGCATAGTGACGATGTTTTGCCTCTTCTTTCGTGGTATTTGAATGGATGTTCAACTTATTAGAACCACCATAAAGTAACCGAACAATTATTAGGCCGACGGGCTTGCCGTATACGGGAATATTAGACGTAAAAATGAAAGAAAAAATGACACATTAGTTTGAGATATACTGGTAGATCGTCATCACAATGGATGACTGAAATGATCAAGCTTCAGAAAAGTGAAACAGCCGATACAATGTTCGTATCACTATAATTCTATCAAACGGGAGAACAAGATATATTTGGCTAAAACACCCTTCAATCGCACAGGCGAAATAGTTGGACTCCGTAAATGAACTTTATAGAATATCCACTTAAGAATTAAGCTACGAATACAGCCAATCCAGGCCATGAAAAACAAGTGTCCAACTTTGCCTCAGAGCTATGTTTGAGCCAGATTACTTCAAACGAAGAGTGCTATACTGCACAAAAATAATTGGAGCAAAAGCAGGTTTACAAACAGGACCCTTCAGCACGCCCAAGGTCCCCAGTCTACCGGCCAAGATGCCCATTTTTCCAATAGGTTGATGGCGTGTGAAAACAACACACGTTCTATAAAATATGGATGGTGGTCGAAGACAAATAGAGATTATCCAATTCTACAAATTCGATTTTTATTATCATTGGTATCGTAGAACCCATTTATTATGCTTGCCTTCGTAGCAATTCTAACGGTAGGGGCAAAGCATAACTAGTATCATCTATGGCAGTTTATAATAGCATCCTCTAAATTTAAAGCTGACGGGAAAGTAGAAGCGAAATGACACAATGAGCCTAATTCCATTTCGAGTGAAATTGCATGGTGAATAGAATCGAAGATCGATTTCATTAGAAGATAGGGGCAGATTCCTTTTTATCAGCTGTCGATTGGCTTTATTAGAACATTGATGGTGACGCTGTTTCCGAGGTAATCTCCTTGGATTCAGGTGAAAAGGTGCTAAGCTTTCGTCCGTCATATGACGAACAGCATCAGAGCAAAGTATCATCGTCACAACCGAA